GAATGTATATCATCTTAAACAAAGAAATCAGGGGATGAGGTGTATAAGGATTACTTCGAGTAATCGGACCACTAAAACTCAACTATATCAACAGAACTTATAGATGGAAACAACACTTCAGCAGCTAGCAACAATGTAAATGACTTTGAGGTAACTCAAACAGTAGCACCAAAGGACAAAGATGAGTAATACGATGAGAAGTTGGAGTATTTTCAGCAACACTAGGTTTCCATGTTGTTTGTGCTATTTGTCCATGGCCACTATCAGCGCCGGGAAACTGAAAAATATTAGCACATTAGTTAACAATACTCTTGTACGATTAAATTTCATTAGAAATAATGTCTAAAACTTATGGAAATGAGTTACATGTCCACTTGAGGTGCCATTGATATTTTGAGGGATGGATTCATTAGGAGCATGTTTGCGCATAAATTGTCACATTTGGAGTAATTCTAATTGCATATTATCTTGATTTTCTTTAATCATATTCATTTCATCATTTTGTTTCGCCTTCAATTCTGTTATCTCCTGTTCTAACCTCTGTACAATTTCATTAGATGAATCCTCTTCATCAATGTTCTCTAAGAAAGATCTACTACCCCATAAAACAGAAGGAGTTGGACCAAGTCCTCTAAACCACGAACATACCCACTTCTTTCATTTCCTAATACCTGGGAATACACATCGCCATTCCAAGCAACACGGTGAGGAGGTTGGTCAGTAGATCCCTCACTATTGCTCTTCTTCTCATTAATCATGTCCTGACCAAAGAAAACATATTAGATCCAATTTGGAATTCATTTGTTCACTTTTTATATTTTTTCCTTTATGTTTTCCAATGTAGAAAATAAAAGAAAGAATAAATCTTACAATTGCTTTGGCCGAATCATCATCCAACGGTCTACCATCCACACGTTGTTTATGAGTTAATAAGAATATTTATGCTCGTGTAGGCTCTCTACCATTTGCAGTCTAATACAATAAAATTGATGTCATCTATTCTTAACAAGAAGAGTTAAATTATTATAATTTTTAATTTCAACAGGTTTTCCTGCTCATTCATCAAGGTCGCAATACTTTTGGATCCTCCTGTGTGAGGCATCTTTTGCTTGGTCCTATTATATCTATTTTCTTGGGTACGTCTCTGTCATTGAAAAATTAAAACAATATCTTATGATTTATAAATAAAAATTGAGCAAAACAAAACTCTAAACACTATGAAAATTAGCAACTAGGAGAATGCTGTAAATATTTGTTGATACCTTAGCTTTGTCGAAAAACCAATAAGATACAATTTGTACGATAGATATGTAGCAAAAAGGACAATTTGCTAAATTTCTTACATCCAGGATATAGTTCTTCATTTGCCTCCTTCATGAGCTGTTCAAATTTATCAATCTTTTGATGGGATTGATTTCCAGATGTATGAGTAGCATTTTCCTGTAGGTTTGGCTCCATATCGACCCTTTCATTGACATCAATATCGATAGATTGTGTACAACCACCAAAGGCATCATGTATCATTCCTCTTATATCATCACCTCCTAAAGTTGATTGACTGCAATTAGTTACTTGAGTATTGTTTGATCTATTTAGAGACTTTCTGTGACAAAACCAAGTATCATATGATGGCAAAATACCATTAACCACAAGATGATCATAAGTTGTATCCCGATTTACTTGATGAAAAAACACACATTCTGTACAGGGACATGCAATTTTATCTCCATCTTTTTTTTCAGAAAAAGCATGATTTATAAAATCTTTGACTCCATTCAAGTATTCTTTACTAACTCTGTCACAATACATCCACTTTTTATTTCTAAAATTATCCATAAAGTTGAAGATATTCTTTCTTCAACAATTACTGTAAGAACTAAAGATACGTCAGTAAAAAATGGTGGAATTTATTAATATTTAATTGCATAACTCACAAGATGTCATTTTAACAATTAAAATTATCAAACAGAAAATCGATACTAATTATATTCATGGAGGAAACTTGTCTATAATAATCTTGGATGTCCTAATTGGCTTATACGCCGAGGTTAGCAATACACTTAAGGATTACGTAGACGACTCAAATGGGGTGCACTAACTGACCAGATTATGTGTTATGTAGCACGAATCAGTTGAGAACCTTTTCTTTAAGTCTCAATTTTATAGTATCATTTGGTCTTTAATTTTCTAAAATGCCTAAGGGTTTCCCAAATGTCTATGGGCTGGTCTGATAAGATTAGTTGGGCGTTACAAAATGCTAGAAGAAGTTCTAGTTAAGCGCTAATCTCAATTATATTACTAATAGATTGTGTCTACCATTTATTGTTAGAGAGGAACCATCAAGTTAAAGCATGTAAAGTAAAGACTATTTTAAGAAGGATTGATCAAAATATTCATGTTCGAGAAGAAATTGCATAACCTACATGCAGTTTTGTAAGAGCTCCTACTTTCAGATTTAAGCATTTAATAGTTTAAGTATTTCGAGATTCTGATTGTAATACACTTAAGGCTTACGTAGATGGCTAAAGTGGGGTGTACAAACTGACCTGATTGTATGTTATGTAGCAGTAACCTGAGAAAATTGAGCACCTTTTCTGAAAGTTACAATTTACTTCTATCATTTGGTCTCAACTTCTATGATGCCTAAGGGTATACCAAACTGACCTGATTGTATGTTATGTAGCAGTAACCTGAGAAAATTGAGCACCTTTTCTGAAAGTTACAATTTACTTCTATCATTTGGTCTCAACTTCTATGATGCCTAAGGGTATACCAAACTGACCTGATTGTATGTTATGTAGCAGTAACCTGAGAAAATTGAGCACCTTTTCTAAAAGTTACAATTTACTTCTATCATTTGGTCTTAATTTCTATGATGGCTAAGGGTATACCAAACGTCTATGGGATGGTCTGCTGAAGTTAGTTATGCTATAAAAAAATTCTTTAAGAAGTTCTAGTTAAGTTGAAATCTTAATCATCATACCAGCAGATTGTATCTACCATTTATAGTTAGAATGAAACCATTAAGGTGCAACTTGCATAGTTAAGAATATTCTAAGAAAGGTTGTTCAAGATATTCATATACAAGGAGAAATTACAGAAACTACATATGATTTTGTAGCTCCTACTTACAAATTTAAGCTTCTGACTGTTCAAGTATTCAAAGCTTCTTATTACAATACACTTAAGGCTTACGTAGACAACTGAAATGGGGAGTACAAAGTGACCTGATGGTGTGTTATGTAGAATGAACTTGAGATTATTAAGAACCTTTTCATTAAGTGTTGATTTACTGCTATTGTTTGTTCTCAAGTTCCAAGATACCTAAGCGTGTGTTGAATATCTATAGGCTCATCTTTTGAGGTTAGTTGGGCTATACAAAATGCTATAAGTAGTTCTTGTTACGCTGCAATCTTCATGATATTACAAGCAGTGATACAACTGTACAAAAATAAAGCAGTGAAATGGAGACAGAATATCTATGGGTTGATCTTTAAGAGATGAAGCAGTCGCTTTAAATAATACTGCACAAGAGAAAAACTAAAACAGTTTAATAGTGGCAGAATTTTGTTGCATGTGTAGTCTCATCAAGATTGAAGGATTGCATCTTCAACAAGTGATTATAAAATGTTGGAAGATGAAAAGAAATGCAAATTTCAAAACAGCATATAGGGCTATACCTGCAGTTATCTTGTGGGAATTATGGAAGATGAGGAACTTAAGAAGACATGACAAAGATATCACTTAGGCAGAATGATCCAGCAAGTTCAAACCACCATTCAATATGTGATCAAAGTGAAGTACACATGGCTATATGACAGTCCAAAGGATTGGAATAGTTTTTGTAATATTTCTAGAAAGCTACAAATCTAAAGTTTTCTACCATGAAATCAAATAGGAGGCACCTACTGCAGGGAGGATAAAATGTAATACCGATGGAGCTAGTAGGGGAAATCTGGGTGAAAGCTTTTATGGGTTCTGCATTAGAGACTGCCATGGAGATTTAATGTAAGCTGAAGCCCAGCCACTTGGTTTTACAACCAATATGGTGGCTGAACAACATCAATTTTCAAGCGATGCTTTGTTGCAGACAGAGAAAGTGGAACAACATTATTTTAGGCACTGATACTTTAAGTCTAACTAAGATGTTGAAGGAAATTTGGGATTGCCCCGGGAAATTAGCAGAGATGACAGAGGAGATAAAACAAGAAATGAAACACACATGAGCTACTATTCAACATGTTTTCAGAGAAGCTAATGCGGTAGCAGATCTACTGGCTAATATAGCACTAACACAACAAGTAGCAGTTCAGAAAAATTATACACTGCAGATTGAAAAAACAATTGTAGCAAGTAAGCTCACAGTAGAGAAACATAGAAAAGAATAAGAGAAGAAGAGAAGAAGAAGAATGTTACATATGTAATAAATTTCGTCTCATATTTACTTTATGACGACTACTAAAAGTTTTTAGCAATGAACATTGTGTTTTTCAAATTATCAATTGCGCAAATCATACAGTTGGAAAATAGTACTATATCACAGACTAAGTAATGAAGTTTCATCGATTCGCCTTGGTTTCTAGTTCTTCAACAGGGAAACAAGGAGAAGTTCTTAGTTTCTAAACTTAGAGAAACAATCTTAATAATCAAACATTCTTTTTCAATTAACTCCAAAAATCGAGAAGAAATCCAGTTCCAATTTAATAACATCCTCAACTGGAACATACACATCAACAGACTACAAAACTTTTTAAATAGTTTGATGTTTTGTTTGAGATTCAAACAAATAGTAACGAGAATTGAATACATTAACAAACACCATAGCAAACAGATCAATCAATTGCCCAACAAATTAATGGTAGACAGATATCACACAACACACGTTCTAAACACAAAAAAAATTACGTTTACAAAATCAGAAACCTACGAAGTAGAACGTTTATCCGATGAAGACACCAAAGTGTAGGATACGATCAATTCTGTCAAAACCTACAGAAAAACGAAATACATAACAGAATTGAGAAACCTTCAAACTTTACATGAATCCCGAAATCAATTCTTATTCTTCAAAAAAACGAAATACAAAATAGAATTGAGAAACCTACAAACATTACATGAATCCCGAAATCAATTCTTATTCAATTTGTTAACAAAACTTGACCCAAATATTCTAACAACTACTATGTGATAGGATTTCGTTTCAACAAGAACATGATATTGTACCATTAATTTTTGGATTAATTGCTTAGAATGATGTATATGAAGAATCTGAAACTGCGAATTTCTATCAAATTAAAACTTGGATTACCTTTGAAGATGGAGAATAGGGCAAAGCTAGTGAAACGCTACCGTGAATAGGGCAGAGTTGCAGATCGATATATTGGGTAGTCGACTGAAGCGGGAATAGGGTTTTTCTTCTAAGTTTTTAATTTTAAAGTTTATTATTAATAATTGGAGGGAATAGTTAATTTGTACTAGAAAATTTTGGAGGGAAAAAAAGTGTGAAAATTGAGTTCTATTAATGACTTTTACTAGCAAATAAATTTTATTTGTCACTAAAAATATATCTTTTAGTGGCTATAGTTCATTAGTCACTAATATCTCAGCTAAAATAATTAATTAGTGACAAATAATTAATTGCCGTTAAATAATTGCCATAAACTGATTGAAACTGGTAGAATTGAAAGTCAATAGATAGTTTTGTGCAAAAAAGGTGACTAATGATAACCGTAAGGTGATGAAAAAGTCCTCATTGAAAGAATGAGCCCCGCATAAAAAAAATGAAGCAAAAAGAAAACGTAATAAAGATTTTTGGGGCATTGGTGAAATGATGTGAGTACTTGTGACAGGATTGTTAAGGAGAGGGCTGAAAATAAAGAGAAGGAAATTTAGTGCTGATGGAGTCTAAAACGTACACAGTGCTTAGGAAAGTGTAAGTCAGTATAATATAGTCTCTTTACCTGTTCCCTAGCCTACATTACAACACGTGAAATTCCTATTCGATTATTTATAAAGCATGCTTAATTAGAGGAGATATACATAATGGTCAGGCCTATGGTTCTACATGCATACATGTGATTTTTCTTTGTGAGTGTGAGATTTGATTCCTTATGCGAAGTCCATACTTCATACGAAATCTTGTAAGTGAGTTTGTGGACTACTTTCTTTGTGTGAGGGGCACTTGTTTGATGAAGGATAGGTGACATCTGATTGCTGGCATGAAGTTTTAATGTTTGAGTTGTGAAAAGTTGTTGAGTCAATACTAGAAGTCATATGGTGTCTAGATGACGGTCAAGGCAAAGTGTGAACGAAAACATGCTTATTGTGGCTTAATAAAAAGATTCCTGAAAGTAATTAGCTGAAGCACAAATGCAATTGGTGGTGATTCTAGGTCTAGGGTGTATGTATGTAAATTTTTCTAGAATAAACAAAGCTCTAAGTGTGGGGTGGTGATCTTGGGCATATTTATATGCCTAGGAGCCATATAACACGCATGCCTTAGCCGAGTTTAGGGACAAATTCTTTTGTTATTGATAGTGTTTAAGTCATGTTATTGCATTATGATTAACCAAAATGATTAGTACTTGAAGGTTTGAAAACAAGATAAAAAAAGGGCACAAAAGTGGCAGTACGTGAAGTGAAGATTGGGTCGAAGCGCGAAAGCACAATCGATAAAGTGTCAAAGGAGAAGATGAAGTCAAAGTGAGAAAATCCACTGATTTTGTATCCTCTCCGTGTTACGGAGAGGGAATTAATTTATTTTCTTCACAGATGATGCAAGGCATGCAGAGGACTGCATATCCTCTCCACGTCGTAGAGAGGATGAGTGCAGTAAAAGTTGAATTAACAAGGCACACGTCGTGAACCCGAGTCTAAATTTTTTACAGACTTTTCCCAAAGTATAAATAGACCGGGTTTATATTATTTTTCTGGCTTTTGGAGAATGACAACATGGAGAACTATTTCTTCAATATTAGGGTTCATTCTTACGCTTTACTTTTATCGAATTCTCTTATGTTTCTTGAATACTTGAAGATTGAGAATCACATTATGAGTAGCGAAATTCTCTTGTTCTAAGGCTATGGCTAGAAGATGATTGCATATTATTGAATTTGATGGATTGATATTGGTTATAATATGAATTACTCTTTTGTACTTAATTTAGTATTTCGTGACTGACCACCATTGAAATAAATTCATAGTCAGAATTGAACTCAAGAGAGGAATATGAGGATAGAACTGTCACGCCCCGAGTCTACACCCTGGACGTGGCCAACACTGGAGAACCATCGATGGTCCCCAAGCGAATCCTTGGCCTGGCTAACTACTTAGTGGAAGACTTACTCAAGAAAAATCAAAACTCCAAATACCAACTTAACTCATATAGTCTCAAAACAACTTAACTCAACAAATGTTTGAAAGTACTTAAATAAACACAAGTAATTAACTCAAAGTCATAAAGGAACATCAACAAGGGAAAACAGAGAAAGACTCCCCAACTACTATTGTCTATGAAACCTCTATATAATACAATGGATTTAGGGACAAGACCCCCCCGACAACCTAACAAGAACAAAACAATAATGTGAAGCCCTCTGAAAAGCAAGAAGGCTCACCAAAGCTAGATGGAATGCAATGGGATCAACGAAGCACCTGTTGATGACCCTGAACACCTGTATCTGCATCATAAATAAGATGCAATACATCAGTACATTGAATGTACGAGCATGTAAAGGAAAAAACTGAAACATAAGCAACTAAACTGATACTCTGGGAAGACATACTCACCTTTTTTCAACTAAAATGTGAAAGCAACAATAAGAGATGCAATATATAAAGCTTTTAAAATAGTAGATATCAACTCAATATGTATAAAAATACAATAATAAACTCTTTATTCTTATTTGGGAGATTCTCTAATCGATAACAATAACTCTGAGCTACGTGATGATACAACGTCTCGTCCATGCTGGTAGAACTGTCCTATACCTTGCTGGGTATAGAACTCCTCAACTAAGTTTATCCATTAAGCTATGCTTAAAAGAAATAAGGGATCATCTAAAAAGTATGACCTTTTACCCATGTTGGCATACATGATTTATGAGGATTTTGAGTTGTCTGAAATCATCCCCATATCGGTGCTCAATACCACTCCCAAGAATATATAACTCATGATCATATGTTTAAAACATAACTCTTTCTCAATTTGAGATAATTGCTCAAAAGATCCTCTTAAAAGAGGTGATGATCAAGACTCCTCATAAACTCATTTAGAAATAATGTTTCTCTCATTTTAAATGTAAAAGTATTACACTTGGGAATACTTAGTTCCCTCTTATACTCTTTTGAAAAATAAAAGTCAACTCTCCTCATTCTCATTTACTCAAGTCTTAAATCAATTTATACATAATTGCAAAAGACTTATCAAAATGACTCAAAAGGACTTTCTTGGACTTTCCTCTTAACTTTACCTTGATTTGAAATGATAATTTAAGAGCTATGATTAGGATAAATATATATAGAGTGAAGACACGATTTGAAGAAACACATACGGGATGAAGAACAGAGAAGAAAGGGGCCTGAAGCCCCTGACATATAAGTGGTGCGCCGCTCCAGCCCCAAAAGTGTTGGGGCTACTTTGGGGCGCACTGCAGGCGTATGGCGCCATCCCCCTGACGCTATAGGGGTGCGTTGCCCCAGCCTCAAGCCCAAAAAATATGATGAATTTTCTTCTCAAATTTTAGGTCGTAACTCATCTAGAATTGATTGGTTTCTTCCAAAATCCCTTTGATTCATAAACCCAACACAGACAATCAAACACCCACTCAAATTTTATCAAGAAATACCACTCATTCACAAAATCTTTACCTCAAGGACTCAAAAACCTCCATAGTTAAAGAATGGATTTAAAACTCAAGAACTTCTCAAGAATCTCAATCTAAACAATCTCATGGACAAATTCATGAATGAAATTACATGATTGGTGTGAGGGAGAACAAGCTCAACATTAGGAAAGATTACATACCTCAAAGAACACTTATTCTTTGCCAAATTCTCAAGTTCTTGAAAGAATGCTTGAAACCCTTCTCCTTTCTCCTCTTGAAATTGCTCTAAAATCCCTAAACGCTTTTGGAATGTCTATACTGACTTAGCATCTGATTAGACCCTTAACTTGGGTGGGTACAATGTGGGTAGGCCTTTAGGGGTAAGGAAAATACCAAAATACCAACTCCTTAAAAGAATAGAAAGCCTTAACTAGAGAGGCTCCACTCAAACAAGCATAACTTCTTACTCCTAGCTCAAAATTTAGCAAACTTGGCAGTGTTGGAAAGAGGACTCAAAGACATTTGATTTAATACTTCATGGGCCACCTAACTCTTTATGTACTGAAAGTCATGGTTGTTTGAAGTTGACCTAAAACTAAAAACTGAATTTTAACTTGTACGAATCTCTAGTTGGATTTTCGAAGTACTAGATGTTAGAAGAACGTGGGACAAAATGAGCATGATCTTCTCTAGAATTAAGGTTGATTTGTTTCTAGGATAGGTATATACCTAGAGACCTTGCTTGGTTAATAGACAGGATGAAAACGTAATGCTAGGTAATTGGTTCAGTCTATCCCCGCTCAGCGATGTAGTTAGACTCCCAATTAAAGTAAGTGATTAAAGGTCAAGAGATCATGATCATATATTTAACCCTGTAAATCATTGATTTGATAACCAATTGACATGCATTAGAAGATATAATATGCATGAATCGAAAGCGGGTTATTGCCCTGGAATTACCCAAGTGATTGTCTGTACTCCAATTTGAAATTGAATCATATTAGTTTGCTTAGTTACTTTAAATAATTTATCACTTAGAATAATGCCTCACTTTTCTGGAAACACTTGCTTTAGGTTATAGTGATTGGAAGAATAAAATATAATGTAATCTTAAGTCTATGTGAGTATGACATCCGACACTTAAAAAGGGCTACTTTATTACTTACATGTCTACGTACACTTGTGTGTGCAATAAGAAGCAACAATACACATTGGTTGATTTGATATGATTTTGTGATTTTCTTTGAGTACATCTGAGATTTTACTTGATTACAATTTATGGGCCTGAGACCTTGAGCTAGTTGGATTCTGGACTTTCACGTTAGTATGACTATAATGTGATGAGTGTCTATCCATTTTCTTTTGTGGTGTGATTGAATTGAGAATGGACTTACTATATTTTGGAATGCATTCATGTATAGAAAGGTATAATTGAGACACTTTAACAATTTATTATCATTTTGGGCTCTATTGGAGCGTGTCACTAATTTTTATTTTTTAAAAATTAAGATTTTGAAAGGAAATGTATCATTTTCTGAGGCATTTATTCAAGAGAGGTACTTATTTTAACTCATCGGTCTACT